GTGGGTTTTCTCCAGGTACTCATTTCCTCCCACAGACCAAAAACATGCATGTTAGACTGATTGGTAACTCTAAATTGTCTCTAGGTGTGAGTGAGAGAGTGAATAGTGGTTTGTTTCGTTTGTCTCGATGTGGCCCTGTGATGGACTGGAGACCTGTCTAGGGTGTACCCCACCCTTCGCAGAGTGATTGCTGGACATGGGCACTGGCGACCCAAAATGGAAGAAGCGGGTAAAAGATAATGGATGGATATATATATATATATATATACACATCTATATATATATATATATATACATATACACACACACACACATATCTATATCTATATATATACACTGTACTTTATAGTAAATAGGCTGTACTTATACAGCGCTTTTCTATCTCATCTACTCGGTGCTTTATACCACAATTTGTGCCCTCATTTATCTCCACGCACAGCATTATAATAAAAATACAAACTATATATATATATTTGTTTGTTTTTACCATAATGTTTTGAAATCATAGCATTTTTATGTTTTTTATTTTTATTTTATTTTCAGATGAAACTTTATAACCATAAAATGTTCCGCCATGTTCTTTTTGCACAATATCCACTTGTTCTGTCTTTTTCTAACTGTCCTGCCATGAACTTTAACCTTTAACCTTTAACAGAGTTGCCGTCTGAGAAGGAGCTCTGGGGATTTCTTGTCATGTTAGAAAAAGCAGACAAAGTGTTTTCATTTAAAAGCATTTTAATGGCTTTTTGCACATATGTAACAGATGAGGAAAGTTCTACGGGTGCAGATCCAACTAGCAGTGACCCCGGTCCACCTACAACCCCGCCCCCACCTCCCCCGCCCCCATCGTGGCATCATTGATTGTGCAGTATGAAGAAATATCTTGTTACTATGGTTACAGTGACAGAAATGCACACTAAATTTATCAAACTGCCAGAGATTGAAGCTTAAAAAATTAAAAAATGAGCAGGGCCACGCACCCAGTGAAGTGCTTCAGGTGTAAAAGCCTGAGCCTCCCCCATCACCACCATGTTCAGGCTCATTCCTGCTGTTTTACTTTCAACTCTTCTGGCGTCTGCAGAAGTGAGTTAATGACAAAATTACAAAAACTAAATTCAAGCTGAGGCTGAGAAAGTCCGTTTTTGTTTGAAAAAACATTTTGCACATTTTTAACCGGATAACTTCAACCAGATTGAAGCGGGCCACCACAGCTAGCAAACAGTGCATGAGTTCTTTGTTTAATGACATCCATGACGACAGCGGCTAGCATTATGTCAAAAAATCAAAGATTAATAAATTCAGAATTGTGCAACTTGCAGCAAAACGAACGTTTTTTTGTAAAATATGACAATGGATTCAAGTCTTTATTCTGAGTGGGAAAAAAAATCCCATTGTTGCTGAAAATAGAAAGGGACTGGAATATTTAGAATTGTATCATTACTGGACTGCACCATGCTAAAGCTCTTAAAATGACCAACTAAAAGGTTGTAGTTAGTGTTTTGTAAATAAACTTCCACATCACCTCCTACAAGTAGAACAAGCTTCCCAACTCAAATTTGGGTAAATGGAAGAAAATGTGCAGAAATAGAGTTAATAAATGTTTCTGGGAGTTAAAAAAAAAAAATCCCTTTTAAATTGAACAGTGCATCCGCCTCAACATCAGCTATCAATCATTGTAGCATGCTGTTCATATTAGTAGAGGATTAACAATAAAATCAAGTTTATTGCATAAATAAGCACAACAGAGTAAATTTGAATTTGTTGAATTTTGTCACTAAAGAACTTCCGTACTAAAAGCATCCACACGACAGATTTCACTGCATCAGCGGCAAAGCTGCTGAAATCTCAGCGACGGAGAGCTGAAGCCAACAAGCAAGCAATCGTTATTCTGCATTATGTCCAGAAAACTAAACTTTTAGTTTCAAACCATCCACTTAACAGCAACGTTTACTTATTTTTGCTTTTATAGAACATCTACGCCTTCATACTTAGACTAAATAAAACCTTAGAGTCAGCCTAAACTGTGCAGCACAAAACAAAAACCTTCCAGGAACTAAAGGGCCATGACAAAAGTTTCACAAATATAAAGAAAACAAAACAAAAAAAAAAGAAACCTCACTGATTGGTGGAAAATTTATTAAACATTCCTAAAGCTGTTAATGCTCCTTCATTCTGACACGCTGTGTTTTCACAGAAAGTTTAACTCGTTGAAGCTTATTATTAGTAGCAATAACTGAGGATCTTGAACACAGGTTTATTTTAACAGTTTGTTATACACAAGTTATACATACAGTTCAAAGCACGGCAGGGTAACGCTCCAAATAACAGCAATAGCTTCCTTTTTCTGTTTCCTCTGTGCTGCTCCAGGGATTACACAGAGCTGAGCAGAACAACAATGATTGTTTGCTTTTCGCAGTTTTTTTGTGTGTTTTTTTTCTTGTCGTTTGTCGCACAAAGTATACCAAGAGAAAAGCAGAATTATTCAGTGCACAAAATGTCTCACTTTGTTTGAATTCGAAGGATTTCTGCAGGTTTCGGGTGTAAATTCAGAGGATTACCCCGCTGTGGTAAAGTTTTCCCACGACAGAGGAATACACATCATCTCGCAAAGACAAGGCCTCGAGGGGAAAAAACAAAACAAAAAAAACAGAGGATGGACCCAAACAGGAACTACCTATAACATAAAAAACAACCATGACCAGTGGGAAATGTAAACACGACCCACAAAAAAGGCAGAATTCAACAAAAACCAAGACAAGAGCCATAAAATAACCAAAGACTAACACATGGGTTTATCTGGGAACTCCTCTACTTGATGTTGTTCAGCATCAAACTTGGGTTTCGTTTTGTTCGACTGCAGCTGCCTGAAGCGTTGCGTTACAATCCGCTCCGTATCTTACAGAAACAGAACCGAGGTCTCCGGTGTTGTAGCTGATTCAAAGCTCTGAGCCGACCGGACGGTTGCTAGGCACAGAGTGGAGAGTTTTGGCTCGGAGCTTGCATGCTGGAGTCACGCTTTGAGAGGAGGGAGGGAAGGAAGGATGAAAGGATGAAAGGAAAGAAGGAAGGAGGGAAGGAAGGAAGGAATGAGAAAACGATGGAGTGAGCTGTTTGGGCTTTGATCTGACACAGCAACTGTGTTTCTGCAGGAAGCTGAAGGAAAAGTCGGTTAAATGTTAAAAACTCTGAATTAAACGGTTTTCCTTGAAGGTTTTCTGTTAATTTAAGACAAAAGAATGTTGGTATAAATAAATGCATCTACGTTCTGAGCACTTATTCTAATAATTTGTTGTTACGATCAGTTGCTATGACTTTAAATCGATTATTCAGTTGATTGACATCTTTAAATATCAAACCAAAGATCGATTGATAAGGAGTGGCCCCAAACAGCACCGCAGAAAGAAAAAGGGAAAGAGGAGCGTCTATTTCTTCTTGCTGAACAGACTGAAGCGTTTCTCCTTGTCTTTCTCTCGTTTGCCGGGGCTCGACTCGGCAGCCGTCGTCGTCGTTGCCACGGAGGCCGGCAGCGTCTGAGCGCGAGCGGCGGGCGCGGGGGCAGGCGTGCTGTGGCTGCTGGGCGTGACCTCTGACTTCTCGCCCGCAATGGAGGTGGAGATAGTCGATATCCAGGAGCTCATCTCGTCCTGCAGGACAAGAAACACACTCAGCTTTGATCTGAAGCTATGAAACTTGTTTATTCTGATTTATTTAGAGAGTTATTTAATTCTAATTTAATTAGAAAGTTTAACATTTTCCTTTAAAGCAACAATGATCCTTTTATTTACAATTATTTGTGACAATCTAGTTGGAATTGATAAAAATAAGATTTTCATTAAACGCAATCAAACAATTTCTTAAAATAAACCGTCTAAGTCTTTTTCCACGGGCCTGACTGGAGTTGGACCACAGTTCCAAGTGAAACGAGTCGAGCTGAAAATATGAAGCCAGCAAACCCAAGGCCATTGATTGGCCAGAGGGAGACGTCAATCATAAGCGTCTTCTTCACAAATACAGTAGTTCCTCGCTGCTTCGTAAATTATTTAACACCTGCTGCATCTTTGTGCAGCCTACACTGCAGGAGAAACTTCCTCCTGCAGCTCCTCCTCCTCTGTCGATCTCCGTTCTGCGAGGAGAAGTGGGCGTGGCCAAGAGCACAGAGTGCAGCTGTGGCAGAGAGCTGAGTTCATGACGTGCTCTTTTAGAGAGTTTAGAGTTTAGAAACAGTGTTAGGGACATTGCAAGAGTGTGGGAAGGGTTTAAAATGCCTGAACAAACAATATATACAGACCCTTTCCAAAAAATTAGAATATCGTGGAAAAGTTGTTTAACTTCTATAATTCCATTCAAAAAGTTCATCTGTAATAGATGATAGATTCAGGGCCCACAATTTAAACAATTTCAAGTATTTGTTTATTTTTACATAATTTGGGCTTCCCGCTCCTGAAACCCACAAAAACAGGATTTCAAAAAATTAGAATACTGTGAAGACATCAGCCCACACTTCACAATTTTTACAGGAAAAAAGAAATAAATTAGGATCACAACAAATCAATAAAATATGGTATTTTCAAAACGATATGTCAATGTTCAATACTTTGTTGGGAATCCCTTTGTCTTAATCACTGCCTCGATGTGACGTGTCATTGAGTCAATCAGCCTGTGGCATTAACTGGGAGTTATGGAAGCCCAGATTTCCTTGATGCCGTCAGCTCTTCTTTGTTGATGGTCTGGTGCTCCTCATTTTCCTCTTGAGAATACCTCATAGATTGTCAATGGAGTTTAGGTCCGGCGAGTTGGCTGGCCAGTCAAGCACTGTGGCATGGGCCAGGTCCTGCTGGAAGATGAAATCTGTATCTCCATACAGATCCTCAGCAGAAGGAATCATGAAGTCCTCTAAAACATTCTGGTAGACTGTTGCGGTGACCTTGGATTTAAGAAAGCAGAGTTTACCAACACCTGCACCGGACACTGTCCCCAAATCATGACTGACTGTGGATATTTCACACTGGAACTCAAGCGGTATGGGCTCTGTTCCTCACCCTTCTTCCTCCAAATCCTTGGACCTTGATTTCCAAATGAAAGGCACACTTTACAGACACAGCACTCTGTGAACAGCCAGCCTCCTTAGCTATGAACTTCTGTGGTTTACCCATCCTATGGAGGGTATCAATGATGGTCTTCTGGTCAGTTGCTATTTCTGCAGTCTTCCCCATATTGAACTGAACTGAGACAATTGAACCAAACTGAAGCAATTCAATGACACATTGGGAAACCTGTGCGGGTATTTTGAGTTTAGTAGATGATTAATGTGTCACACTCAGTTTAAAACACTTATGCCATGAAAAATTTGGGCTGATGTCTTCACAGTATTCTAATTTTTTTAAATCCTGTTTTTGTGGGTTTCATGAGCTGGAAGCCCAAATTATGTAAAAATAAACAAATAAATACTTGAAATTATTTAAATTGTGGTCCCTGAATCTATCATCTATTAAAGGTTAACTTTTTGAATGGAATTATAGACGTTAAACAACTTTTCCATGATATCCTAATTTTTTGGAAAAGGTCTATATATATATATATATATATACTGTATATACTGTATATATATATATATATATATATATATATACTGTATATACTATATACAGTATATATACTAAAATAAACTACTACTTACTACTTGTACTACTAGGCCTACTGTGCAGTTTTTCATTTATCGTGGGGCTTCAGGATACGGATCCCCGGCGATAAACGAGGTACTACTGTATATCCATTATTAAAATGGCAACACAAACCAACACAGTGGTACGATGGGTCAAATGTTTCCATGCTTGTTGATGGATGACAGAATTCAGACCAAATGGACTTGATTCACTGGCTCTGACCAGCAGCCAGAAGGTGGCCTCAACTCATCCATCATCTTTACTTGCTTCTTCCTTTTTGTGTCACGGGGGTCACTGGTGCTCATGTCCAGTTAACACTGTGTGAGAGGCAGGGGACAGGTCTCCAGTCCATCACAGGGACATGTAGAGACAAACAACAATACACTGTCTCACTCTCACTTAGGGACAATTTAGAGTTACCAATCAGTCTAACATGCATCTTTTTGGTCTGTGGGAGGAAACTGGTGTACCCAGAGAAAACCCACGGATGCACAGAGAGAACATGCAAACTTCACCCAGAAAGATCCCCAGCCGGTATTTGAACCGGGGCGGCCTGCTCGCGGGGAGGCAGCAGCTCTACCAACTGCGCCACCGTGTCGCCCGGCCTCAACTCAGGCACAGCATATTTAGAAATGGTGGCCGAGGATGCCTATTTCATTTCCCCATTGAGTTGTCGCGTTCGCCTTGGATAGAAAATGAAAACAACATCGCAGAGGTTTAGGTCAGCTAATGAGCCGGCCCACATCGAGGCGGCACTCAAGCTTTTTTTATTTTAACTACTGAGACTGTGCTACAGTTGCAATCGGGCCTAAAAAAATCTGACCCAGCTCATAGCCATTTTTTCCGAACCCGACTCGATCATTTAACTGTAATTGCAGGCCTGAACCCGAATAAAAATTTTTTTTTTTTTTTGTTATTACAGAAAGCTTTTACTGCTTTTGTAAGCAAATCAGTTTGACATATTTTAAAAACATATTTCAAAGAAAGGAAGATATAATATTGTCTATTAACAAATCACCAAATTGATATTAACATACAAAACGAATAGCCTAAAAAAATCAACTGCATAAATAAGCTATTATAAAGATGAACAAAACTATTTTTAGAGCAAAATTATTTGGAAAAATATAGAACTAGGCTAGTTTAATTGAACGCACCGCTCGCTTCGAGAGTTAGAGGACTTATTCAGAGGACTACAACAACAGAGATAATTTTGCTTTTTAAAAATACTTACTTCATCTTTGGCTTGGAACAGATACTCGTTGCCGTCAGTGATCCTGTAAAGTTAAAACAGATCTGTAAGATTTTACAGGAAGTTTAAAAGTTTTGCTAGCCGTGTGTCTTGGTTATTAGAAGACTCGGGCCCAATCTATACTATATATACTGTTTTTAACAGATCATTTTCCTGATTATAAAATAATCATCTAAATCATTCTAATGCAAAATACTGACACTGCGCCACACGGTGGTGAGAACGTCCTCTTATTAACATGCATGTACATATTAAGAACATACTTGGGCCCAGTTTAACTTTGCTCATCTCTGGAAATTCTCTCATTTTTTCAGTGTAGATTGTGAAAAAGTTACACGTGCACATGGTAATGCTGTGCTTGTTGAATTCGCTGTCGTTTTCATGCCAGGTCACTAGGTGGCGCTGTGATATATGGACTTCAACGACACGCTCATGCACAACAATAAAATCTGTTGCATCTAAAATGCTGAATACACGAGAGTTCTTTCGGAGCGAGGAAGAGGTTGGGCGCTCCTACACACTGAAAAGAGCGAGTACCGTATTTTCCGGCATATAAGTCTCAGATTTTTGCATAGATTTGTCAGTCCTACCACTTCTACGCTGAAGCGACTTATATACGTTTTTTTTCCATATCCATAACGCAATTTTTGACCGACATCTGGTGCTTTCATTCAATCTGACATGAACCAGATTAAACATTACCATTTGCAGCCGCTAGAAGCGCGAGAGGGCCCTCTACGCTTTTGATTGACAAATACCGCTACACCCCCCCACACACACACACACACAAACATTCATTTAGAGACAACTGAGAAAAACTTAACACAAGTAAAATGCCCCCAAACAGAAAATCCTATTTTGCAGATACAAACTGCAGGTAATAAAATATGCAGCCCAAAAACTGTAATCAAACAGCAGAAAAAGTTTGTAAACGGGTGGAGTCCGTGCAGTCTGCCTGGGGATTCAACCCGGTGGAAGAGAAGGCCGCACAGCAGCAGAGGATCCCCCCTTGCGGGGAACCTTGCCCTGTGTATGGTGGGCTCCTGACGGGCGCATTTCCTCCGTGGCGGTGCGCCGCCCATCCATCCATCCACTCATCAAACCATCCATCCATCAATCCATCCAGCCATCCATCCACTCATCAAACCATCCATCCATCCATTCATCCATCCATCCACTCATCAAGCCATCCATCCATCCATCAAACCATCCATTCATCCATCCATCTATCCAATCATCAAACCATCCATCCATCCATCCATCCATCCACTCATCAAACCACCCATCCATCCATCCAAGATCCATCCATCCATCCATCATCCATCCACCCACCCATCAAACCATCCATCACGGCTCCGGCTGTTAGCTCTACCAGCTTTCCTCCACCACCATAGTGGGGAGGAAGACTCCGTGGCGGTACACCACCCATCCATCCACCCGTCAATCCATCTATCCATCCACCCATCAATCCATCCATCTATCATGGGTCACGTGCCTTGCTGCCCCATTCCTATATGGCGAAGCGACTTACGTTTTTCCCACTTTGAGACATTTTTGGACGTATGTAACTTATACGTTGGAGCGACTTCTACGGCAGAAAATCCGGTAGCACAAACAGCACTCTGCGTTCCACCATCGTTACTGATCATCGACTCGCTCAAGTGTAGGAATACTAGTGACTGCAGCCGTTTGGAGTGCACACGTGTGAACTCGCATCGATGCCAGGTATTTCTATAAACCTCCACCGACCTGGATTCAAAAGGCTTGGGTGTCAGAAAACGACCACTTGTCACGAACATGAACAAACGTAACACAAACCCGTCGTGCTGCCGTACTTGTAGATTTCTGGTGGTTTGAGTGTGTTATTGGACACTTCTAAAGAAATGGATTCAGTTTGAAACAGAGGAGAGGAATGGAGATTTGTGATTAAACAATTTTAGAAGAAAACCATTTTAAACAAATTAAACTCCCGAATGTGTTTTTACTAGAAAATATTGTAAAACTCACAGAAGTCTCCACTCAGTCTAAAAATGTCTGTATAGTATTAAGATTTGATTTAAATGGTCTTGGAGAAAACGCGGTTTTCTCTCAGAACGTTGGCTCAGTGTCATGAAAGTATCATCTTCTGCAGACAAAGTATTTTTTTGGTCTTGAAACCCACTTGAGTTTAAAGACGTGCTTCTTCTTCTTGTACTCCACAGCTACGTCGCACACGGCATCCTTCAGGCAGACGGGGATCTCGCTGTGGTAGGGGATGCCCTGACTGGCGCTCTTCTGGTCCTTGTAGAAACCCATCTCCTGCTGGTTGATCACACAGTACACGTTGTGCCAGGACCTGCAGGGAAACAGCAAACACATCAGCACCCGTTCATCACGTTTTACTCAACCGTTCGTTGTGTGAAACTTTCTAAAGCATTCACACGAATATTCACATCCGTTTTTCTTCCCGTGCATTTTTCGGCTTGTAATTAGTTTCTCAATTTTAGTACCATTTCAACAGTTCTTACATCAAAACGTTCAGCTCATTCAGAACATTCCTGCTGTGACTTTACGTATTTTTTTGAAACATTTTGCTTTTCAAGCCATTTTTTTTTTTATTGAAAATGAACGACTTCACATCCATCAGAGCCTTTGAGTCGTTTACAACCTTTTACTGCTCATTTAAACTTTTCTCAGCTGTGTTCTAATTTCAGCTTTTTGGTATTTTTTCAGCTACTTTTTAAGTAATTTTATGCTGATTTTAGCCCTTTTTATTTTTTGTGTGTACCAATTTGTGCCTTTTGTGCTTCTTTTAAATAATTTCAAAGTTTTATGCTCCTTTCAGCATTTTTCTGCAAATTTAGGCTTTTTTTTGTTGTTAATTTTAGATTTTTTTGTTATCTATTCAGCCACTCTACTGGGGCCAGCTGTGCCTAAGTGGTTAGAGCAGTCGTCCTCCAATGCAAGAGTCGGGGATTCAATTCCAACAGCAGTCACGTGTCAAAGTGTCCTTGGGCAAGACACTGAACCCCTCATTACCTCTGATATGTGCCCCATCGGTGTATGAATGTGATAAAGCTCTGATTATTCTTTGCATAGATGTAATAGAGTGCTGTATGAGTGGGTAAATGAGGACACAGATTGTGTTGTAAAGCGCTTTGAGAGTCTTGATAAGATACAAAGTCGTTAGATAAGTACAGTCCATTTACTTATTCTGCTACATTTCTGCTCTAATCAGCTCGTCTGCACATTTCTAATTCTCTACTCCTTTCCATTTTTGTTTTCCTGCAAATGTCAGCTGTTCAAATCCAATTTGCATCAACAGTTTAACCATGAAACATTTTCAGCCTGGTTTCAGTTTATTCAGCAGCTTTCAACAGAACATGTTCAACAAAATGCATATTTGCAGGAAATGCAGCCACTCTATTATGGTTTACTGGCTGCAGCTGGACTTGTACCTGTTGGAGGCCTTCTTGTTGTGGCCCTCCCACTCATGCTTGCGGTGCAGAAAGCCATCCTGCAGAGACGTCGGGGTGTCATGCTGGGTTTTAGCCGGCAGGGTTGCCGCCTGGCTGGGTTTGCCCTTACGTGCCGCCCCCGGAGACCCTGATGGACTGGGCTCTGACACCCCGTTCACCACGTCAGCCCCATCAACGGCCTCCTGTGATCAAAGAAGAGCGGCGTCAGTGGACTGAGGATGGACGGATGATGTTTGTTTTAGACACACAGAAGCTTTGAATCAGTGATCAGAGCTGCAGCATGCAGAGCAGAGAAACATCACAGGCTGAGAGCAGACTTCAAAACCTCTGAACGTCACAACAACTATCAACTGTTCCTGTCTGGAAATCATCTTCAACCAAAGTGAAACAAGGAAATCCAACAACACTATCTGCCCTGATGAACATACATTTACCGAGGTTTAAACACAAAACATTTACTGTACGAACACAAAAAGACTAGCCCTTATTTATATACAGGATGTACTGTACCCCCACCCCCAGGTCTACTTTAACCAACTGTTCAAGTTATTTTTGATCATTATAACTTTTGCTCACTCAATACATTTTAAAATATTTACTTGATCAAGTTGTCAACATTTATATATTTTGGACAAAAAAGGAAATATATATATATATATATATATATAT